TGTCGTGTCTCACAGAGGTTCTGGAAGATATCCTCTACGTCAATGTGCTTTCAAGTTATATCCACCAGAGCCTCTGTGATGTCTCACAGAGGGTCTGCTTCTTTAGCTGTTTTACTTTGGTTTATTAGCTGCTCGTGCTTATCACGTGTTCTTGTCTGTAATCTGTTTTGATCGAACGGATTAGATTAATTTACTTTTAGGTCGTGTCAGAAAACGGTTACTTGCTTGTATAAATAGCAGCGTAGACCCTTGTATTTTAGGGTGCTTCAGTATTGTAATTGTCAACATTTTCATTCTATTGAAAATCATTTGAAGCTCTCTCTTGTGTTCATCAATCTTCATCACTGTGTTCTTATTGATTTCTACTTTGGTTGATTCTTATCTTTTCCGCTGCATCATCATTGTCAAACAGATCATCCAAGTAAGTAATTAATACCAAGAAACCGAGTTAATCGATCCTACATATTCCCCTACCTCATAGCAAAAAGTGGACCAAAGATCATCCAATACATCAAATTATTGGTGATCCAACTGCATCTACTCATACTCGGTCTGGTTCTACTAATGAATGTCTTTACTCCACTTTCCTAAGCAATATTGAACCAACAAAGATGTCTGAAGCCTTAGCAGATCCGAACTGGATAATTGCGATGCAAGAGGAGCTGAATCAGTTTGAAGCATTAAAGGTCTGGAGATTGGTTCCGTGTCCTAACAATAAAACGATTATCGGTACAAAGTGGGTTTTCAAGAATAAAAAGGATGAAGATGAAGTTGTTGTCAGAAATAAGGCCCGACTCATCGAAAAAGGATACAATCAGTAAGAAGTTGTTGACTACGATGAAACCTTTGCCCCGGTAGCACGTATCGAAGCTATAAAGATGTTCTTGGCGTACGCTGCACAGAAGAATTTCACGGTGTACCAGATGGACGTCAAGACGGCATTCCTCTATGGTCTTCTGAAGGAAGAAGTTTATGTTGCTTAATCGGAAGGTTTTGTACATCAGTCAAAGCCGGATCATGTATATATCCTTGACAGAGCTTTATACGGTCTTAAACAAGCACTGAGAGCCTGGTACGATATCTTATCAGAATTTCTGGTAAAATTAGGTTTTTCGAAATATAACATTGATACAACTCTCTTTATTAAAAAGGAGAAGTTGGATATTATTTTGATACAAATTTATGTAGATGATATAATATTTGGATCTACGAACCCAAAATACTGGAAAAACTTTTTTGCCTTAATGGTTTCTCGTTTTAAAATGAGTATGATGGGTGAGATGAACTTCTTTTTAGGTCTTCAAGTCGAACAATTATCTTCAGGAATTTTTATCTGTCAAACAAAATATATTTTTGATATCCTGAAGAAATTTAATTTGGAAAATTGTTCATCTAGCAAAACACCTATGGCTCATGGTACAAAACTACATGTTGATCCATCTGAAAAAGCTGTAGATTAGAAAACATATAGAGGCATGATTAGTTCTTTAATGTATTTAACATCTTGTAGACCGGATATTATGTTTTCAACACATCTTTGTGCCAAATATCAGGCTAATCCAAAGGAGTCCCATTTAAGTACCGTTAAACGCATTTTTCATTATCTGAAAGGGACTGCCAGTCTTGGACTCTGGTATCCAAAGGGTACTAGCTTTGAACTAACAGTATACTCAGATGCAGATTACGCAGGTTGTATGTTGAACAAGAAGAGTACGTCGGGTCATCTACAATTTCTGGGAGATAAATTCGTAAGCTGGGCTTCCAAGAAACAAAACTGTGTATCCATCTCTACCGCTGAAGCAGAATACATAGCTGCTGCTAGTTGTTGTTCTCAAGTATTATGGATGCAGAC